ATATATTCATTGCTTGTAACAAAAAAGTAGAAGATAATAACCTTCCAAATGTTTGTGGAGATATTTCTTGATGGCAGTCGTATCTGTACTTTTATTTTTATTTATGCTTTTCTGTCTTTCTCAAATTGTAATGAGCATATCTTCCTGGTATAATTGGAGTAAGACACAATAAATTATTCCTAAAAACATAAAAACCTTCTGTTGTATAATGGAAGATATAAACTTTCTAGTTGTTTTTTTGCTTGTCTTCAGAAAACAAGCAGGAAATAGTCCTGGCCAGAGAGGCTTTTGAGTCTAATTACATAGCCATATAGGAGCTTGTATATCCTACAGGCATTTTTAAGTCCTGATGCCTCCCTATTTTGGAGGGTGTGCTAAGGTGTATTAACACCATTCTCTAAGTCTACCACTCCTACAGGATTGTTGTTGGAGACAATTAGGGAAGTTTCCTCAGGAGAAAGTGGAGCCACTGAAATGTCCTAATAGTACTCTAGGTGGAAGACTGCTTGTAAATAGTGATGATTTACCTGATGTTGCAGAGTACAGCCCCCAAAGGTGGTTCATACCCAGCCTAAAAAATGTGCTCAGATATGAGAATCTGGCATGTACAGCCTTTCTGGATTAGAAGAAGTGAAATCGGTAGTCTGCTTTATGCCTCCATGGAGGTATGGAATCCCAAAGGTGGATTTTGTTCTTTTGAATCCATGTACTAACCGTTGCATGTTAGAAGCCAAAAAAGGTGAAAATTGAGGCTTTATGATCTGGCCTGAACCAAGAATAATGATCTGATTCCTGCCTTAGAAGCCTCTGTACTATAGTCCTTAGGACTGTAGCAATGTTGCTTAAAGCTTAATAAAATATTTCTGTTCCCTGGGAGGATACTAATAACATCAGTGCCTGTGAACACCCTGGGCCATATTAATCTGATGACACAAAAGATTAGCTATCTCAGGAAGGCTATCAGTAATCTTTAAGTAACTATGGCTGGAGTGCTGGAACCTTTCCTGAGCCCCTTGTGAAGAAACCCTCACTTCGTTGAATTCCTTTCTTTCCCGTATAACTTTTCCTTCACTCATCCCAGAGGAGGCTATGTAATTAGACTCAATTTTCACCTTTTTGGCTTCTAATATGCAACGGTTAGTACATGTATTCAAAATAACAAAATCCACCTCTGGGGTTCCATACCTCTGTGGTTTCTAACTGCCATTCTCCTGTGACACGTAAATAAATAGGAACAACCTCATGGTTCAGAGTCAGGCTTTCTGAGCATGAGTCATAGGACCCACTTAGGTTATTAATAAATTGGGGGGGGGGCCTCATGCAGGACCTATTTTGGCTTAGTATTCAGGGACTGCTCCTCGGGAGGGACGACCAGCCAGTCCCAGCAGCTGTTCTTTTTTTGGGAGACTGGCACTGTGTCTTCTCTCAGCTTATCCTTAGCCTCAGCCATGTATTTTGATTCCCACAGAGGTCCTGCTCAATTGTCTGAACTCGTAAGTACCTGGCAGTACCAAACCTGGGGGGCATCACCTCTTCTGAGGTGATATTTTGACACCACCATCTGACCATGGATAATCTCCTTTTTGTTTCCAGAGGGGTGGATGCTGTATAAGAGACCTCTGGAGATGCTCTGACTCCCGATCTGTTTGCTTATGCTCATCCCACTCAGGTTAGTGGACTTTGTGGGTCCTCTTGATTTATCTTTTAGTAGGATGGGTAATACCATACTGTCTGAGAGTCCCCTGCATCCTGGAGAACTGGAACAGATAGAGTGAGGAGCCTATGAGAAGGGAGATGATGATCTTCCCCTAATATTCCTGGCCACTGGAGAGCTGAATAAAGTCTGCTGGATGGCTTCCTGGATTCAGAACCTCACTTTGACCATCTAATAAACTCTTTGTCTAATTAGTGTTGAGATTTTATTTCTCAGTTAATAGTTTGGTCACCACATAGGAGGGACCCAGAGGGCCCCTAGAGACTGCTGGAGCAGTGACAGGAGAGAAAGTGCCTAGGTACCAGGCCCTTTTGAGGCCTCTCAGTTGATGGTCTTTAAGTACCATCAACTGAATTTCTTTCAGGTTATGAATTCCAGACTAAGGTACACAGGTTAAAAAGGGTAAGTTTCTGGCTGAAACTGGCATTTTACTTAGGACTGAATTTGCAAATGGTTCCCTAAATGGGAGGATATTACAGAAGAGATCTTACTCTAATGTATTTGTGTATGCAATTAGAAAAATTTGCCTTCCCCCATAATGATAATTTCTAAAGAAACAACAAAAGCTAACTTGAATACCTAAGACTATAGAGGCCCTAAAATTTGAAGGTACAGCTTCGGTGTTTCCAGAATCTTATGGTCTGCATGCTAGTTTCTAAAAGTAAAACTACGGCATTTGTCCCCCTGGCTTTGTGGAGGTTAAAAATCTCAGCACTATCAACTGAGTTTGATCCCTGGCCCAGGAGGTGACCCACATGGGGCAGGTGACCTCTCTTGACTAGCCTGCTGCTCCCCTCACGAGTGGATTTCAATAGATCTGCCTGTTCTGCTCCCCACTCTGTCTCTGGTGAATTCTCTCAATCTCCCCTCACCTCTGGTTTACACCCCATTTCTTGTATGCATAAATAAATAAAAATGAATCTTAAAAAAAAACTACAGAATAAATTAAAAAGGACTTTTCTTTCTTGAACCTTTTTTCTTTTGAGAAGTGAGATCTGGTGGTGTTTTTTCTACCTTGCTCTTGAGACTGTTTCCCAAAATCTTCTCATTTACTGTGATGTCTGTTGGGGTTGGGTGTGTGGGGTCTTTGATCCCTCGGTGAAAGAAAGTCTCAGTTCACTGGCATGTGGTAAGTTTATTAAGAGAAAGAGATCCTTGCATAGACACACGTGGGCTTTCTACTTCTTACATGTATGATGCCTTATAATGAATTGCTTAAAAAACTTTTAACTTGAGATATAGTAATGGATTTCTGTCTTGAGATGCTTTTTCTGTTCTATTTCTTAGGAAGAAAATCTTAGAAGCCAAAAGCCACAAAATTGGTGAGCATAAGGAGACCCTGGGACTCCCAGTCTTGCATACTTTAAAGGGGTCTGGCCATCCGTGTGCAAGAAGACTAAGTGTACTTAGTGTGGAAGACTTTTGTTCTTTTTTAAAGTTTTATTGATTTATGCATACAAGAGCTGGGGTACAGACTAAAGGTGAAGAAGGAGGCTGAGAAGTTTCACCAGAGACAAAGTGAGGAGCAGAACAGGCAGATCAATCGACTAAAATACACTGCTGAGGGGAGCAGCAGTGAGGCAGGAGATGTCTGCCGCGCCATGTGAGTCACCACCCTGGCTGGGGATCAAATTCTGTGCCACAGTGGCTGCAGATAGCTTCATAGTGCTGCAACTTAACCCCGTGCACCACCAAGGAGGCCCTTTTTAAATATGCATATATATTTATGTATACAAGAGCTGGGGTGTAGGCCAGAGGTATGGGCAGTAAGAGGATTCACCAGAGACAGAGTGGGCGGCAGAACAGGTGGAGCTACCGAAACACACTGCTGACGGGAGCTGTGGGTGAGACAGGAGAAGTCTGCTGCACTGTGTGGGTCAGCTCCCTGGCCGGAACCTGTGCTACAGTGGCTGCTGACAGCTCAGCTCTGGAGTGCTGGGACTCAACCTGTTGCACCACCAGGAGGCCCTTTTGAAATTTGTATCTAAACTTATCTCTGTAAGGGTCTATTGTAGGAAGACCTAGCATTGTAGGCAAGTTACTCAACCATTCTATAGGTAACAATGTTATTATTAAACTTCTCTATGTCCTTTTCTCTTATCAATCTATAATACCTGGTGGTTATTTGGCATCCTAGAAAAACCCAGAAAGGTGTGATATTGTCCTGTATGCTGGACAATTCCTTATAATTGCTTAGTAGTCAGAACTTAAAGATTTGCTCTTTTTTCCCGTGCTACCCCAAAATGTAAAATTTTAGTAAGTGTTCATATTTCTTATGGCAATGTGCTTATTAAATCCAATAAGACTTTTTTTTTTCTATTACTGACTATTGGAAACATGGCTATACTACTGGGGGCTTTGACTGGAATGTATTAGTCTGCTTGCAAGAGTCTAGTTTGGCCTAAGAAGTTTTGAGAAAAGATATCCTGAATGTCTTGCTTTCAGCGTTCCAGTTCTGTCAGGAAAAGGGTACAGAAGGTCACCCCTTGGCAAATCCAGAGACCCCAGGACATTTGGGATCTTGAGGAATAGTTGCTTATCCACAGATACAGGTACGGCAGGCAAAGTCTAATGGTGAGGCCCTGCCACGGCCCTCAGTCCTGAGAGGTAGCTACCTGGAAAGAGCTCACCTGAGATTTCTTATGAGAAGTTCCAGGAAAGCAGATTTCTAAATGTGTACAGTTATATTTTGTTCATGCAAACGGAAACAAAACACTGACCAAGGTTATTGGAACTGGACTTAATCTGCAAATGAGGTTTACTGTCATTATTTGGTAGTTATAGCACGCACTAATTCAGCTCTGTCCCCAGGTAGGTATTCAAGAACAGCGACTTAGGGTTCCGCGTGGTAAAGGTGAGCTGGTGCAAGGCCCCTCATACAGTTTCGGAGATTGTAAGGAAGGCTTCCAGGAGGTGTTCACTGAGCACAGAAAGGCCAGTAGGAGTTAGTCATAAGCAAGAAGGGGAGGGCTTTTGAGGCAAGACAGCAGGCACCATCACATACGTAGAAGAGAGTGTGGGAGACGAGGGCCAATCCCACCACACACCAGCATGACTGGAACAAGGAGGCATGAAGTAGGGATCTAGGGATTGCAAGGCCGAGTGTGCCGGCTTACAGCATTTGGACCCCACCGAGTCAGTGAGTCACCATTAAAAGGTTTTAAGGAGTTATTTTGGGATGAGAACTCAGTAGAAAGTGGCAGCTGAGGGGATTGACAATGTGGAGGAGGAGAGGAGACTGAACTGATTTCACTGGAGGACAGTTGCAGGACAGTAAAAGGAAAGGGAATGAAGGAGAGATGTAGCTGCAGTTATGGGCGGCAGTGGGGGGCAGAGAGATGTTGGGGTCAGTGTAGAAAGCATTGCTGTGTAAGCACACACTGCAATGACCTTGCAGATTCTTTGATTAGAGATTATATTGTCCATTCATGATTATGGTGTTGGACTCTTATTGTTCTGGGAAGATATGACTTACCGGTAGCCTAAAGGTAAGTAGAGGTAAGAACAGGGGTATCTCTGATGGCCCATTGACTAACAGGTTACAGGACACTGCTGCAGCCACCCAAGCAAGAACTCTCAGTGACCTGCTGTAAGGTGACAGAGATACGTGCTGAGGAGTGAGACATCCCAAGGGATGAAATCATCAGACTTGAGGGTAGAGGAAAAAGACCAGGTTGATCCCCATGTTCCTGGCCTAGGGAACTGGTCAGGCAGGAGTGTAACTCCCTGTGACTGAGAAGAAGGCAGCAGGGGAAAGAGCTGATCTTAGGCGCTGAATGGTGATGAGTTCAGAATTGTGTGTAGGACATAGGAGAGTTGTGATAACTCAAGGCTCTCTGCACCCCCTCCCCTGAAAGTAGAATTCCAGATGATGGTGGATGGAGGTAGGAGCCCTGATATGTGAGATAGGACTGTCCTTCCTATAGGAGGAGCTTTCACTTGAAACATATGGGCATTCAATAAAACTCATCATCCCTGCTTTCGGATTGCAAAGAAGACTTTGACCTTGGCAGACTGCTAAGAGTTAATGCATTTCCCACAGCAAGTTTTACTTACTAGTAGTAGGGCACTAACTCATAAAAAAAATAATAATAAAACAATTAACACTGGGGATAAAACATACTGTAAACCTGCCCATCCAGTTTTCTGCCTTTCCCTATGACATCAGTTCCCTTTGGCATCCTAGGAAAATGTTTTCTTCTTTGTCAGGCTCAGTCATAAGCTGCTCCCAGACCCTGGCCCTTGGGAGCGGCAGGCAGAAGCGGAAGTGATGGGGGAGTAGAGCATGAGTGGCGAAGTGAGTCATCTTGGAGAAGCTGGTCCAGGCGGGCAGGGAGAGCTGTGGGCTGGGTGGCTGTGGAATGTGCTTGTGGTCACAGCACCCTGGGACCTTTCTGTAGATACCTGCCACTGTATCTGTGTGCTAGGGTGGAGGAAAACCTATTCTGGAGAGCTACATAATAAAGAACTGCATGTAGCAGCAGAACTAGAGGTTTGGAGAATTTAGAAGGGAGAAGCAGAGTGCTTTTAGTGAAACAAGTGCCGTGTGTAGGAGGTTGAGAAGAAGATGGAAAAGATAATTAAAGAAGATTTGCTGTGTGTTGTGAATATTATTCCCTTTGGTGTTTTCTTAAGAGACTGCAGAAAATCTGTAACATTGTTTTTCAGTTATTTTTGAGTAATAAATTCATATGTTTCTTTGAAAGTGGCCAAGCAGACAGGAAGGGAAAGGGCTTGGTTTTATATGAGGTACATTTAAGGCAGTGAGCATGTAGCAGCTTCAATGCTTTATTTTTGCCAAACTTGTTATATTCTGAGATAAAATCCACAGATAGTTTGTCATATCAGGGCTTCTTGCATGTGTGGGCTTCAGTGATCAGGAACTCAAGGGGTTCAGGCATCTGCTCCCTACTCCAGCCTGCAAAGTTGTAAACTTTACACGTCAACAGAAGGTTCTTTATTCTGGGGAGAATATCCATGCATTCACTGCTGTCCAGAATGCCCTGTGCAATGATAGAAATGTTCTATAGATGGGTTGTATGTGGTCGCCAATAGCCGCTGCCGGTGCTGTTATCGGACACTTAAAATAGACTACTGCAACTGAGAAACTGAATTTTTATTTTTGAAATTGAACTTTTTTTTAGAGATTTATTTATTTATTTATGCATACAGAACTGGGGTACAGGCCAGACATGTAGGGGCGGTAAGATGTTCACCAGAGACAGAATGGGGAGCAGAACAGGCAGATCGACGAGGTACACTGCTGGAGGGAGCAGCAGGTGAGACAAGAGAGATCTGCTGCACCATGTGGGTCACCTCCAGGACTGGGGATTGAACTCACACTGAAGCAGCTGCTGCTAGCTTGCAGTGCTGCATCCTTACCGGTTGCGCCACCAGGGAGAGTCCATGAATGACTTTTTAATATAGCAAGAGGATATATTTATTTAATAAACTATTTTTTAAAAAGATTTTATTTATGGGCCCTCCCTGATGGTGCAAGGGGTTAAAGCACATCACTATGAAGCTATCCACAGCCACTGCAGCACGAGTTCCATCCCTGGCCAGGAGCTGACCCATGTGGCACGGCAGATGTCTTCTGTCCTGCCAGCTGCTTCCCTCAGATATACATCCCCTCAGATGTATTTCAGTACATTTCCTGTTTTGCTCCTCATTCTGTCTCTTCTGAATCCTTTCACCCTCCCTCCCCCCTGCACCTCTGGCCTCTACCCCAGTTCTTGTATGCATAAATAAATAAATCTTAAACAAACATTTTATTTTTGTGTAGAAGAACTGGGTTGTAGGCCAGGGGTGCAGGGGTGAGAGAATTCAGCAGAAACAGAACAGTCTTATTACTGAAATACACTGCTGAGGGGAGCAAGGGTCAGACACGCAGGGTCTGCTGCACCAAATGGGTCACCTCCCTGGCCAGGGATCACATTAAAGCGGCAGTGGTGATAATGCTGAGACTTAACACTTAGGCCACCAGGGAGACCCTAATAGACTTTTTTTCTTTTTTGAAGATTTATTTATTTGTGCATACAGAACTGGGGTACAGGCCAGAGGCCCAGGGGCGGCGAGAGGCTTCACCAGAGACAGAGTGGGGAGCAGAACAGGCAGATCAACGAAGTACACTGCTGAGGGGAGCGGCGGGGGGGTCAGGAGAGGTCTGCCGTGCCATGTGGGCTCCTCCCAGGCAGGCGGGAATCGAACTCATGCTGCAGTGGCTTTAGCTTCTTTAGTGCTGTGCCTCAACCCGCTGCCCCACCAGGGAGGGCCCTTAAAAGTCCTAACATTTTTTAACTCAGATCAACTTTGTACTAAGTAGATTAAAAAGTAATTTTTTGTTGTTGTTGAAAGAACGTTGGTTTATAACATTCTATAAACAGATTTTTATAAGCACTTTTTTAATACACTGTGTCAATGTAATTTGGTAACAGCATCACTTCTTACACATTAAAAAGAAATATGAGAAATATCTGGAGCTGTT